GAGAAGACCACCCAACGTGAAAGTATTTTGTGTTCTAGAACTGGAGTGAAATCACTAATTCATTTTGTATAAACCACAGTTCATTATACCCAAAAAGCTGCTGGTCCCCATCAGTTTGTTCAAATGTGGTTCAGTGAGTTAGATATGAAAAGCTTGATAGCCCAGTGCCAGTCCTCTGAGCCATCCACATTTCCCATTGCACTTTGAAGTACCTGGCAGGGAGGGAATATTTATCAATAGACACCTTCCTTTGAGTAGCAGTCCATAATCTGCATTTTCTTCAGGAAGAAGTGCAATAGGCAGAGAGAGACAAGTCCAATATCACAACCTCCTGTACTTAGGGAAAAAAAAACTTTTAAATCATGACAGTGTGGTAAGCAACACCTTGCAAACAGGCAAAAGCTTTTTATATGTACAGGGTAACATTTTTCTTTTCTAGAGCAAGAAATCAGAGCAGACTCATTTATCAGAGACAAGGCATAGCAAGTGACTCATTATCTTTAGCATATTTGAAGTGGATCTTTTCCATCTGACCCCTGATAGCTCAGTGAGTGATCTTTCTTTTTAAAATGTCTGACAAGGGGCAGAGAAAGTTCAAATCCACAGAGCTGTCCAGTATCACCCACTCATTAATGGGCAAATGGCACTCTTACCATAGTGAGTATGATGTAAATGCTGCATGTCAAAACCATGTAGCGGTTTAGCCCTTTGTCAATCTCTGCAGCGAGGGATACAAGTAATGATGATAAACCAAGTAGTTTGTATACCTCTGTTCTCAGACAAATAATTCTCTGTGCTTGGAGATACTGTCTCTATTCTATTGACTTTTCACACAAGCTTAGTGATGTGTTCAAACAAAATCATGCAAAACTCACTTAGTTTTAGGTTCTGTTCCATGATTCCGTTTCAGCAGAAGCTTTCAATAATAAGGGATGTTACTGAAGGATTCATTGTTAACTGAATGTAACCAGTGTTTACGCTGATACAAAACTAGGTAAAAACTAGCAGGCTCCCTTGAGGATACACATGCATTTTACCCACTACAACTTAAAAGCATAGGTATTATTAAGATCCATGCCATTTTTACATTTTTTAGATGATAGAACTTTTTCTGAGGGGATTTAAAAAAAATCAATTCCAAGTGAGGAATTATTTTTTTCTAAAGGCAAAGCTTGTGCTGTTTGCATAGAAAAACCCTGAAGATGTGCACACAATAGGTATCTATATTACATATCCAACAACTATAGATACAAAGATGTCAAGTATTTACAATATACTTTTCTATACCCTTGTATAGAGCCTCTGCCAGTGGGGTCCTGACCTGCTTGAGTTATTGGCATTAATGCCAACAAGTCAGTGATGCCAGTGATAATTCTATACATATAAACAGCTTAGTCTATCTGTCTGTGTGTCTGTCCGTAACGCTCTTTAAGGGTGCTGAGAGCCTGGTGTGGCAGGGAGGGCAGAGGGAAGGACCAGCTTAGGGAAAGTGGGAGCCTGGGCTCCCAGCTACTGTGAGAAGACAATTAATTACCTGGCTACTGTGAGCACTGGTGTTATTTGAAATTCATCCATCATTCTTGATGGGCAATTCGCTAGTATTAACAATAATCAAGCAAGATTACTGAGGCTATTGATCTCAATGTGGGTTTTGCACTCATGGTGAGGAAGAGAAGGAGACATGCTTATTTAAAAGCCAAATGAATAATACTAAACCCAGGGTGGAAAATGGAAGGATATCGGCACTGAACACCGCATAAAGGGAAAAAGGGAAAAAATTAATTGAGCAATAAGTAAATAGTATTTCCAGACTTAGATTCACAGATGGGGCTGGACAGATTTCAGGAATTCTGCGTTCCAAAAAACAATTTGAGCAAACACGAGACCTTTATTTGTTTGTTTGTACCATTAGACCAGCTATTCTGACTTCCACATTGATATTACATAAAACTGGGAAAAATGTACAGGAACAACCTGAAACAACATTCTTCATGTAAACTTGATCTTTTCCAGACTAACTTAAGGATCCTAACCTCCTACCCCTCATTTCTCCCAAATTCCAAAAACTCTTTCCCTATGTACCTTCATAAGACCCAGTCCCTACATTCTTTTTTCCATCCCAGGCAAGTGTCTGTCTAACTTGCTCTTGAAAACTTTCAAGGATTTTGACCACTCTCATAGTCAAAGAGTTCCTCCTAATCATCAACTTAGATTTCCCCTGCTGAAGGTTGAGGCCATTGCTCCTAGTTCTGTCCCCTACAGACACAGAGAAAAACCTATCTTCATCCTTTGTGTACTTCCTCTTGAGGGGTTTGAAGACCTATCAGTCTTTTTGTCTCCAGACTAAATAATCATAATTCTTTCAGACTTTCTTCGTAAGTCTTGCATCCCAGGCAAATAATTAATTTTTGTGCTCTTTACTGTACTTTTTCCAATCTAGCCACATCCTTCATGAGGTGTAGGGCCTAAAAATGGACACTGCTCTCCAGTTGAGGCCTCACTACTGTTGAATAGAGTGTAAAAATTGCTTCCCTTGATTTATAAGTGGCACTACTGTTAATTTAACCCACTGCTGTTATTTTGGCTTGGTTTTTTGCAACAAGTGCACATCCTTGGCTTATATTTAGCTTATGGTCTACTAAAACCACCAGGTCCTTTCCCTGAAGTGTTGCAGCTTAGTCAGTCATTCCGCAGTCTGTGTTTATGTATGCAATTTTTTCATCCCAAATGCTGGTCTTTGCACTTATTCTTGATGAATCTCACCTGATTGATTGTGAACCATTTTCCCAATCTATCCAGGTCGTTCGGGATCTAGCCCTACTCTCTAGAGTAGTTGCAGCTCCACCCAATATAATTAATCAAAGGTTGAGATATGTGAAGAATTGTTAAGGAGGCACTTGGAACCTACTGGAGAGTAAAAGTAAGGATAGAAAGAGCCTAGAAAAACTTAGATGACAAAGCAGGGGGGAGATTATTTATAGTATTTGAGGACTATCTGTAACTAAATATAAAAAGCACATTTTCTGAACAGGGCAGGGGACAAGGTGGGAACCCTAAAATTAAACTAAAAGTAATTATAAATCTAGATCTAAAAATAGACTTTTCCAAGAAGAAAGGCATAATGTTTATTAAGCACTTAAGAGTTCCTGAGGTTTCCCTAAATACACATATATTACATGGCACTGACAATATATATATGTATATGTATGTATATGTATATGTGTGTGTATACACACCCACACCCCCCACACACCTATATTGCACACCAAAACAATATATATATATTTAAACTTCTCTAATCCAAGTCTAAAAGGCTGATCATGCAGCTGGAGCTATTAAAGCCATTCTTACAACTTTCCTGAAGGCCTGTAGGAGAATTATCTAAAAAAGGCCGTCTGCTAGCAAACAACTAATAATTAATTTGTAAAAGACTGATCACTTCAAATAAACATGTTGCATGTGCCTAAGACTTGTTATGCAAGTCCTTTCCTTTTTTTTCACTACCTCAGTGACACATAGCAATAACGTTGGATATTACCACCAATCTAGACCCATGTATCTGTAATTCACCATTTCACTCAAGTAGACAAAATTCATCCAAAAATGTGCTAATTCAGTTTCAGGACAATGGTTGTTAGAGTGAAGCACTCATCATGAGTAAAAGTAATGAACCATTTTTTGCGGACTGTTGCAAAGTCTCTCTCAGGGTCTCTCTCTCTCTCCCCTATGCATCTATAGCCATAATCATTATGTACATTCTCTGAAAGAGTGTATCAGATTTATTCAAACTTACCACTGCATTTCTGGCATTAACCTCATTAATACTGTTGTATTTTATTCTATTCTTAAATATAAAGTGTCTTCACACTGTTATATATTTCATAAGTGAATACAATGTATGGATATGAGAAGCGTATTTCCAGAGTGATGAGGAATGCAATGTCCCATCAGCATGGGAAAGTCTATATTTTATTTGAAAAATACTTATACGAATAAACGTTTTGTCCCCTTTGTTTATTCAAAGAAAACATAACAATCTCCAACAGTAACATTTGCTTAAGGAGGTATTTGTAACCTAATTTCATATAATATTGTACATTTGACATTTCTCTTTTCTTAAAAAAAAATATACATATTTTTGGAGACTTTGGAAAAATAAGAATGGCCCAATACCTGCAATGCTGCTTTAACTGTTTACTGTTCCTCAGAATGCCTTGTGCTATTTCATATATATGACAAGTACACAGCCTCTATCATTTTGTAATCCCAAAACAATTACCTGCGTAGGACAATTCAGTTTTCCTCTATTAAACAAAACTTATTTGTGATTCTTTATGCAACTCTGTTGAGAGGAGTGTAAAATATATGGTTAACTCTATCACTGCCCTAAGTTTAGATTTTGGAAGAGTTTTGCATAAGAATTGTTGTAATTATTTTTCCAAATGCCAAAGGCAATAATTATTTTAAACAAATACAACACTGCAGTGCTTGTAACTGAAACATCGCACCACTTAGAATCTGAAAACAAAACTAATTACTATGATTTTCATTTTCCAAACCAAACTGAAATAAAAAGTAGACAAATTGCATAAGAGAGTGCCTCCCAGCCCCCCATTTTTAAATCAACCAAGATGTTAATAGTTGTATAGATAAAGAAAATCAGTCTCATTACAGTATATTGGTCCAAATGGAATACCCAAATGAAATACCCAATAATACCCAATACCCAAATGGAATAACCAATAAAGTCAACAGTAATCTTTCTATTGACCAATGGACACTGGCTCAACCCCTATGATTTTTAAGCTGACAACATACCTTAGACCAACCAGGTGTGCCTTGACATTCTTTCAAGGGTGCTGCAGGGTGCCATGTTAGCACTGTTAGGCATACAAATATGAGCAACAAGATAAACTCAGAGATATCAAACAGGAATTCATAGTGTCAAAAGCATTCTGACCTGTTGTGGTCTTTCTGAGTTCTTTGCAACAGAAGAATTGCTCCATTTTTCTGTAGTCAAAGAGTGAAAGCTAAGAGCTGGCATTTCTGAGGGGTGACTTGAGTCTAACTATGGGTGTCCTAAAACTAAAAAGGTTAAGAACCATTGCCATAGGCACTATTTTTTCCCTTCAGTATTTACTCAGACCACTTTTCCAGATTACAAGTCATGATTACAACGTTCTGAGGATCCTCACCCTTTCAATGAAAAGTATTTGTTTGAATTATTTTGATTAGTATAATGGATGTAAATACATTATTAATCAACAGTCATTGTAGAAAAATAATATTGTATATTGATAAACCCTTAAGTAACCCCATGTAGCTCTATTCTGAGTCAAAATCTTCCAGCTTTAGAAAAGTTGGGCCACTTCCAGTGTTTGGGTTGGCAAAGCTGCAATAGAATTTGTGTTTAGGCATAGAGTAAATTGTTTTTAAACATGAGTAATACAAGAAATCCACAAAAGATTTAAGTGAAGTCAATACAATCAGACTCAACCACAAACTGGAAAAGATTTTCACACACAATTTTCACTGCATGTAAACTTTGCTTAAACCAGCAGAGTGACAAAATGATCATGGCTGACATGAGACAGAATGTTAATTTCCTTTCTGTTTAATCATATTAACACAGACATCATCAAATATTGTTGTAGTGTATTGCTGGGACAAGAAAACAGAGGGAGAAATGATGAGATAATGGGAGAAGAAATCCTGCAAACCTGTTTATTCTCCATGATGAGGCCCTTCCTTGTGGCCCTGGAGGTTTGGTATTCTGTCATTTGTCATTCAAACAACACAGTATTATGATGTGTACTGGAATAAAGACAGTAACCATAGCAAGCATGCAGACTCATAATGAAATAATAGCACATTTTGGAGCTCCTTGTGGGGAGGACATATCAAACAGAACACACCTCAGCATCAGTGCAGAAGTCTCAACAACCCCAGAGCAGAATATGCACTTCACATGATTTAGCAGAGGTCCCGTGGACCGTATATGTGTGCTGTAGCAACAAAGGTGTAGGGAACATTACAAAGCATTCAAAAGGGTTTTATTCTTTCTAGGAGATATGATTTCTTACTCTCATTAATTTAACCAGAACATGAACATTATGAGAAGCTATCTGCCTATGTACTTGCTCTTCAATTCTGTTTGGCTTCAAACCTGCATATATTACAATGCACATAATAATAAAGCACCATATATACTACTGCATAATGTTCAAACTGCAATTGATTTCACTTACTCTATGGTAAGGAGAGATTAATTCAGTATAAACTTACCTAGTTTCTATCATTTAAAACTATACCATAATAATGAATAGTAATTTCTGAGTAGAAGTAACACAAAGTATTATGGAACGTGGATATTATAGATTATGAAAGCTTTTGTCTTTAAGTTACTTACTTACCCATCACTCTATTGATGCTACACAAAAATATCAATGGTGGACAAACTAAGAATAATTTTAACCAGTAAGAATTTTCTCTTCAAAATATTTTGCACCACTAAGTGCATTATGATTTCAATTTAAGGGAATGTTTAAAAAAGAACTTAACATTAAGCACTCAGTTCAGTATTGTACTAAATGGAAATAGCTCTTACATGAAGTTCTCTGAGAGTTTGTTTTTCCAGAGACATTCTGCAATAGACATTAATTGAATCAGGATATTGGACTAGAGAAAGATCAAATTCAAGAATATTTTGTCATTTTTTTCCCCCAGCTTCCACTGAAAGTTTGAATTTTGGCATTTGAAACAGGGAATATTTAATTGTAAATTATCCTGTTCACCGTCCCTTTTCTTCCATCAACTTTTATTATAACTTTGATACTCTCACAAGTTCATGTTCCATAAGCTATTTTTAAGAAATGTTGCTTCTTGTGGATAAAATTTGTTTGGAGAACACGAAGTAACAAGAAGCCATGAAAACAGGATGAGATTATGGGAAGCACAGTGGCAGCAAACAGCAAAAGAAAGTTTTAAGTGTTTCTTTCCAAGCTTGTGAGCTTTGTATTAATACAGCTGATAGGCAGCATGAGCCTGAAAGGATTTGTCTGTATAATGTCATATGGGACTTATAAAAACTTCCAAAATCTCAAAGGTAAGGTCATTGTGAGTTTAGCAGAAGGTCCAGTCTATAGCTAACCCTTTTGCAGGCATGTAGTGGTGATGGAGGGCTTAAGGAGTTTCCCAGCTCCCTTATATGGCCTGAATGGACACATACAACTGATGTCTCTGCCTGATGGGTAAAGCAAAAATGTTTCTTATTCTACTAACCTTAGGGGAAATGGCATCCCAAAAGTACAGGAAAGGGTGGGGAAGATACAGTGGAGAGAAGGTTAGGACTGATTCACTGGTGTTGCTGCTCCTCCATAGTTGCTTACTAAGTCTAATATTGGTGCACTTTTAACCTCAACCATTTAAAAGGGCAGAGTAGCAGATATTTGTCCCTTGTGCAGTGGAGAGGTGGGGAAAAAATCTGCTTCTCCAGCCTCCCCCAAGGAGCTTTCAACCACCACATCACTCTTAATGCTGGGCTGTCATCTTTTTCCTATCAGATTATTGTGATGCCTGGGACTATTATAGCATGGGAGCATGACAGATAAAAAGCAGAAGAAAACTTCTTTCCTGTTTCCCTAAGGAAAATGCGAGAAAAGGCTGGATTGAGTATTAAAATGCTGACAATGCAGCATCCATAATGATAGACAATTAACAATGGAGTAGCTTGATTTATTCAACTCGGTGTGAACCCCAGTAATGGCATTTTACATTTAACTTTTTTCCACCTCCATTGACTTTAAAGTATGCTCATGTACCCATCAAACATTAAATTAGGAAAACAAAAAGAATACAGCTTGTTGTGCCTCAAGGGGAATTTTTTAAGATCCTTCAGCATTAGGCAAAAATAAATAGAAAATAAATAAATAAATAACCCAAGTAGCATCAACTTAAACTCCTTGCTTTCCGCATTGAGACAATATTTTATCAGCAGCTTTATTTTTTCCTTTGGTCACATTAATATGCAAATAAATGTGACACATGACTAGGAAATCCCTAGAGTCCTAAAATGACTGTTGTAGCTTCTAGCCACAGAGCAGCATGAAACTAGTTAGAATCAAACACTGATCTGAGTGAAGCCCAGTGACCTGAACCCCTGCATAGGTAATGGTGCCTCCATTGTTACTTTTAGCAAGAGTGCCTATGCCTTATCTGCTTCACTGCATAGGAAATATTTCATACTATTCCATTTGGATTTTTGTGGAAAGATAAAAAGACAAGTCAGAAACAACGGATGTGACAGCTTCTGCACCACTCCATAAATAGTGCAGGCCTGGTGAATATGGGCTACATGTGTTTATACAGGCAACCAATCTCCTCCTAACTATTTAGAGGGGCACAACACATGCTGGTGCTTCCGTAAGGCTCAGTTTGATGCTAATAAGGGCCCATACCAAAAAGCCATTTGAAAGGATAGTCCCAGTGTTTCCTTTCTGTAAAGGAATGGATTGCAGGAGGCTGTCACATCAGTAATAAACCCCACTGGTTACTTTAGGCTGGTCCCAAGGCCTTAAGAGCTAGAAATAGTGTCACAACCCTCTGCATAAGATTAGCTCTCCAGAGAGCTATCCTCATAAACAGGCACCATCATAGACTTACTGTAGCTCTGGTATGTTATACATATTGCAATAAAAATGTCATTGCTTGGTTTATTTTAGATATTGTTATGGATGTGGTACCACAGACTTTATTGAGCAATTAAAAAATATACACAAGGGACAGCAGTATCTCTTTTTTTTGTATTTTTTAAAATTTGCTTTTCTTCCAACTGAAGAACCCAGTTTCAAATATGAAAAGGGCACTTTTTTCCTACAGTAACTGTGTACAACTTGTTCAGTTCCAAGTTATTCATGTATTGTTACTGTTGCTGTGGTTATACCTCCAGTTGTTTGGGAACTAAAACATTTCTTGTTCCGAGAATGATAACTAAGTTGTTCTTTCTGATTCTATTTCTCCATAGAGTTCAGCTAGCTTCTTGAACTCTGGTCCCCAGTCACCAAGGTAATTATAATCCTGGTCAGAGTGTGTAGTAGCTGAATCCAGAGAGCTGATAGATCCGGCTTCTGATCTATGACCCTCATATGCATATGTTTGTAGTGAGTCATATGGGGGCACGCTGGGATCCAGATCAGCCTCTGCCAGTCTTTGTTTAATAAATTCTTGAACATCTATACTGTCGAGGCTGGAGGAAGGTTGATGTCTTGGTGTGGGTTTCACTTCGGGCCGTACATCCCGTCGATACTTCAGCTCCTCAGCTGCCGATGGATTCCTCAGGGCTGTGATGTCAAAAGCTTCAGTATCCTCCTCCCCACCACCCTCATCATCATATGTGACAATGTTTTCCCGGACATCTTCCTCAGAAATGATCAGCGGCTCCTTTTTGCTGCGCCTTAGTGTGATGAAAAGGACCACAATAGCTAAAGAGAAAACTGAAGTTATTAGATCAGGTTTATGGACACTGCATATAAAAAAGTATTCTACTTTTTTCATCGGGTATGAAATAAGTAACTTTCTGGTCTCATGAACAGAATGAAGGGGGAACTGCTATGTGGGTGCCTGTATTCTTACGCTGGCCTTAAACTGAGTTGTGATTAATTCAGATGCCTGTCTATATACAATGTGACCAAAACATAAAAACCTGGATGCCTCAAATTAGGCCTTAAGTAAAAGATTCTGAGATGAAATAAACTGACTTCCTAAGGAGGTATATCAGTTTGCAACACCTCAGTTTCAGGCCTTTAAAACTGGCATTTAATATCTCAGTAAGGGCAACCTGATTTTTTTCCAGGTGCAAAGCATTAATAGATTGCACTGACTTCAGTGGCCATCCTGGCTGCCCAGCTCTTCTGAACATCAGACCACTTGGTATCATAACTTGCTTTAGTTACTGTCCTGTTATTCTACCCCACAACAGTTCTACTTATCAAGACACTCCTTCCACATTTCCATTTCCCTTTAAGGCCTCTTGTCACATGTAGCTTTATTGGCTACTGACCACTCATCACTCCCTTACTCATTGATGAATGTAGGATCTTTGGGCAACTATGGCAAATATAATAAGAAGCAGGTGTAGGAGAAGCATTCACTCCCTGGGTTCCGGAGACATACCAATGCACCAAGAAGCTGTGGCCCCGCTACCCTGTGCCAGAGGTAGGTCATCCATCCTGCAGGGCCCGATGACTCGGATGCCTCTGATGTAAATCAACCACATCTGTACATTTTAAAGTTACATCTTAACATGTGACAGAATTGGTTGCACTGAGCTATGTCAATTTGTCAAAAGAACACAGGCTTTCAGGGGAGATTCACTGATTTTAAAAAATATGTGGGTCATGAAACAAGCACCATTATTTTAAACATTCTGCATTAGAAAAAAGCAAACGTACAGTAGAGGGATGTTTCTATACACAGCAGGTTGTATCTCTGCTGAAAGATAATATTAACTAATTGGTTACATCAAAATTGTCCTGAGTAAATAACATGTCAAGAAAAAATGCACTTCCAAGGGCATTTATCTAATGAAATCATCTTACTGTCTCATATGTCCTTTACCCTCTAGATTACATTGTGCATTGCTATCAGTTCATTTCACAAAGGTAATTAAGAAGTGGCTTTTATACAATTGAATGTTGCTTCTTACAGAGTAATACATTTCAAAAAGCTTTCCCTTCATTTCTTCTTTATCATTTTTCCAACTGTGCCAGAGATGGTACTTATATCAGTGCCTTTCTGAAAATATTCCAAATTACCTGAGGAGATCTGCACTGGTAATTACTCCATGACCTCTGAAAGAATTGTGTCTAAGGATTCTAATCTTTCAACAATCTGCTTTTAAGACGTATTTCCTATTACTTTTAGCTAAATATTTTTTTTAGAAAATATAACCATAGCTTTGTATGTCTGATTTCTAATTACCAAAAGCAATCCCTGGTTCAGAACCACATTATATGTCACTCCATTGCCACACTCTAAAGGCTAGAGAATATAGAGGATATAGGTACTTAACGCTAAGAGCTGCTTACCCAGAAGGATGAGGACACAGAGAAGAATCGCAATTAAAGCTCCCGTGCTCAAACCAGCTGAGGAGAGGAAAGCTTCAGCATGACAGGTTCGCACACGTCCATCTCTCTCACATGCACACACCCTGATTGTAAGTGTGCTGCTACTGGTCAGGGAGGGGATTCCAGTGTCAGAAATCAAAATAGGGAGGTAATAGACATCTTGAGTGGTTCGACTGAATCTTCTCCGTCTGGTCAGGATGCTGGCTGTATTATCTACAACACCAAAAAGCAGAATGCCACCTTAATAGAAACTAAATTTTATAATTTGTACCTTACCCACCTCAAAGGGCTAACAGTAATCCTTTTGGTCCTGATTTATATTTACATTATACTTTATGCCAAATTGGGTCCACCTCCCTGGTAAGGCCCCTTTCCATGGTCCATATGGTGTAAAAACTCCTTGGTATAAATAAGAATAAGGCTTCTCTTACAGGCTTCAGAGGGCAGTGAATTTTCAGGAGTGATCTGAATAAGGAGAGCATAGTGGCCAAAAACACAGCTGTGAGAAGTTCAGGGTGAAGATGACAGCTGATGCTGAGAGTTACAGTGGTGGGCATGGGAAGTTAAAAGGTGAGAGTGGGAAAGGTAGTGCAGCTACAGAACAGAAGATGGAGGAAGTTTTTGTCAAATTCTGTCATCTTAATATGAACCCCAGGTGTAGCTGGTATGCATGGCAGTTAATAAAATTAGTAATCATTATCCCATTACATTTATATTACAGTAATACCCAAAGGCTCTAATTAGGATCAGGTCTCCATTCTGCAAGTTATTGCACAAACATACATGAAGGCACAGTTTCTGCCTCAAAGGGCCTGTTGCTAAGAAGACAAAGTGAGAAGGAAAAGTTTTCAATTAGCAATAATTGTGCCTTGGATTAACCTCATTGGCTACGATACTGGGTCTGCAGGGTTGTTATAGTTTTCTAAAAGTTATTATAAACAAAGCAACAATCACTTAGCTCCATCTACTGTCACCCCAGACACAATTAAATGACTGGTTTCTTAAAGGCACTGGGGCAGAGATGAGTCCTGAGGAGTCAATTGAAAAAGGAAGGTAGTTAGATTACAGATCAGATTAGGGGGAGATGTTGCAATAATGGGTGAATAAGGCTCTGGCAAAAGGCTAATGAAGCTGTTATTATTATTACAGTAAAAGTGATGGGTGTGTGCAAGCCTGTAGCATCATAGCACATGACAAGGGAAATGTAGGACTGTTGAAGCAGGGTGATAAAGAGCAGGGGAAATGAAACAATGTGATGATCTTGTAACATTACTGGGAGTTACCAGATGAGGCTTTTGTAAATAGGTTTGAAAAGCTTTGTTTAACCAGAGCCTCAGAAGATCTTACAGGTGCATTTACTCTGATGTACATTGTTTTTTTGGAAACTGTTTCTCTTGTCATTATTAAAGTCTATTCACTATCTGAGCCTCTCTTACTGGAATTGTATCTTTAAGTGCTGAGTCGCTGCCTACGGAATGTACCTACATAAACATCATGGGATTAAAAAAAGCTGTGAATGCTGAAGAATACTAAAAACCAAACAGCCAATTAAGGCATAAGCTTTGGCACAGCCCTCCAGAATGAACTGGGAAGTATGAATGTTCTGAGTGGAGGAAACCGAAAATAAAGAGCACGGACATTTTTGAAAGAGTCTGTAACATGTGGGTTGGCATAAGTCAAATAGAGATTTTGCTCAAAATGCTCTGATAAGCAACACACCAATACAAGTGAGTAGATATCGCTAACTAAATGGATATGGGTGCAAGAATACAACCAATACTGTGTTTTCTAGCCCATATGGCTGCTTGTTCTGTGTGTCAAGTGGGTGAGATTCTAGCTAGGATGAATATATATTGCTTACTTAGTGCTGAATCAATATGTCATTCTTTCTCCATCAAGCTCTTTATGTCAATGTTTTAAACATTAATTTCAGCTATTTCTCTCTCGACATTTCACTTGTGCCTGTGGCCAGACTTGTATCCAGCCTTTATAGGCATTGATACTTGTTGCAATCACTAAAACATTTAATCCTTAACATGCATGTAAAGCAGAAAAGTAACATCTCCCATTACCAAAGATATCACAACATTTGCCTGAGCCAAGAACTGAATTTGCCTAAGTCTCAGCCCACAGGCTTCTTGTCTAGAGACCTTTCTTGCTTTCTCAATAAGCTCTTTGGTAAATGGCTTAGTTACATATTTATTTATCTTTGTCCTCCATATCCTACTGAGCATAATTCCTTTGTAGCAACCCTGTAAACCTCCTATTGCCCTATGTCAAGAGACAATTTAAGGATACTGTCCAGGGCTGCCTGCCCAGTAAACTTCTTCCAGTGCTTGAGAGGCACGGAGCCAGCCATTTAAAATGTCTTTTGTCTGCATCTCTCTACTTTGTTGTTTGCATAAACTTAAATGAATAACTTGTCAGCACCCACTGATAGCATGCTCATTCAAAACAGTATGAGAGAGGCTGTCAAAGAGATTCAGCATGGAAATTATTATAAATACAGATATAACCTGCTTCTTTCCTGCTGAGGGAGCAAATAACAACTACTGCCACCACCGTCAGCAACAGAAAAAATTAAGTGTGTGTCAAATAATCTACCAAAAATGTTGCATAAGTCTGAAAGAATTGTTTTTTGGGGGCAGGAATAGCATTTCAAAATACACCAAAAAACCCAAATGAATACTATTAATGAGTAAGCTTCCTGAAATGTATATGTATATGTATATGCATATGCATATAGAGAGAGAAATGATCCTGTTGAATTTTAGTTTCTCATGTAGTATTAAATCTGGAGCTAGGACATTTTATTAACACCCCAAGTGGATACCTCCAGTCATACTTGTTGTTTTACCACCAATGGACATGTTGTTTCCACCTTATTCTGCAACCACATATGGGAGTAGTCTGTTTTGTGATAAAATTGTGTTACTTAATTGAAAAAAAACCCAAGTGAATGTCACTGGGATTCAGATTACATTTACTATATAAGGAGACCTCTTCCTCACAGCAGTAACAGCACTGGCCTGCTAATTCTAATCAGAGTATGCCACATACAGAGAGGTTCATCAAGCTCCATGGCTCATGGGACTTACTGGGCTCTGCCAGTTTAATGTGAAAAGAAATGGAAGACTCACAAGGCTTATTTTACGGGCTGAACTAGATTGTTCTTTGGTACATGCGTGACCTTTTACATTTAATAAAATGTGATATACAAACAATTTCAGTGGGTTTCTCTAGCTTACTGGTGGAGTGAGGGGGTTTCCTGATGGTGTGCTTCTTACAAAGGACTATGTCATTAGCATTTGCTTGTTATTCATTATAGGTGAAATCCAAAGTGAAAATATAGCACAAGTCCAGAAAAAAGCACATGCTAAGGCTATGTATAGACACTAATTTCCACCAGAAGACAGAGAGATAGCAGGCACTACACAGCTGCTTCCTAGGCCACCCCGACCTTCAAGAAGCCCATTAATTGATAGCCTGCACTATACCCTGGCTTTGGAAGGAGACAGACTGTCAAGTGGCAGTGGCAGCTACTGAAAAGCAGAAGCTGCCACAGACAGCCAGGGTTGGCTCCAGCCCTACAAGATTGTCCCCCCACCTCCCAAATCCTGCCAACCAGCTGATTAGCAAGGGCAGGCTGCTGCTGCAGGCTTTGCCTCAGGTGCCAAACTTCCTTGCCACAGCACTGCTGGGGACACAGCAATCTGCCCAGCTCCCCACTTTTCTGGTCTGACCTCAAGCAGTATGGGGAGAAGCAATTTACTGCAGTGGCAATGCTCTTGAGGTCAGCTGGGCTGTGCAGGTGGCAAGGGGAAGCTAGAGGGATCAGGAAATGGAAACCAGGACCTGGGAGGGGTAAAACGTCCTGTGTACATGGCTCCCAGTCCCTCTGGCTTTGCCTAACCCGCTGCCATGCAGCTGAGTGGCTGGCATGGCAATTTAAAAGTCCGAGGGGATGGGATCCAGGAGTGCAGAGGCTTTCTCCAGTTTGGCTCATGGCTCTCTCTTTCCACACCACACCACACCATGCCCCCATAACCAACTGAGCAGTGGAGTGACAATTTAACAGTTGGCAGGTGAAAACAGGGTCCTTGAGTCCTGCTTCCAGTTTTCAGCTTTTCAACTGCCACCCTGCTGCTCAGGTGAGTGGCAGGGCAGCAAGTGGAAGCCAGCAGGAGCTGGCAAAGCCCTCTGCCTCTTCCACAAACTGGGGACTGCCCAGTTTGGGGAAGAGGCAGGAAGCAATGGGTGCTCCTCCAATTCTGAAAAGTTCTCCTGGTTTATAGGATGGGAAGAGCAGCTGCCCCCACAAAGCTTTCTCAGGACCAGGGTGCCCTGGTCTCAAGAAGGCAGTTTTGCCCAGGAGCAGTTAAGCCAGAGGAAAGTGTACAGACATTCAGTCTCCCAGGAGAAACTGCCTCAGAAGCAATTTAACCCTAATTGTTTCCAGGTCTTCCCCCACGAGAGTGGCCATTTTTGCTCTGGGAGAAAAAGTCTGAACATCTGTACACCTTTGGTTTCTAATGGCTAGAGGCTAATGACAGAATCTTTGCCAGTCTGAATATGGATGCTCCCTTTAGAGTGCAAGACAGGCTTCAAGTCTGCCTTCCCTCCAGATGAGAAGCCAGGAGAAGAGGAGACTTACACTGAGTTTAAAATCTAAATGAGATCCACATACCACATAAACAACAGTTAAATCTAAATTTAAGAATACCCAACAATCTCAGTATAACCTGAATGCAGTTCTCACTGCCTTCTTACCTTTTAAAAAATATATTATTACCTCATCATATGCTCATACAATTCCACTGGCTTCCTAGTAAATCAGGATCCAATCTAAAATTGCTTCTTTCTTTAAAAATAGAACATTTTCTAGTTTATTCTATGGCTTTCATAGCCACTTATTTCTCCATTCAACTTTTCACTTCCCAGAACTGGCTTCCTTTCTGCCCTTCCATGTAATTTTACTATACCATGAGAGGAAGCCCTCTTCTCCATAGACCCTATATGGAGGAACTGCTATAGTCAGGAACTGCTCTTCTTTCCCGTTGCAAAGGACTCTTTGTTTTCTTTCACATCCCAAATGAAAAGGATGTTCTCTCCTTGGATTGCATCTTAATTTATCTCCATGTTCAAGTTTAAAACTATGTTTCACTGATTTGGGCAAAACCTGGAACACTCAATACAATTTTCCAGAATTATGG